TTCCATCGGCTTCATGATGATGCTGACAGCATCATGATGATGTTGACGGCATCATGATGATGCCACAGCCACTCAGCATGGTGCGCTAAATAGACGCGCGCAGACAACGTCCTAATGAGTTCAGCAGCATAATGGTGATGTTGACAGCCTCACACTGATGCTCCAGCCACGAACGATTCCGCGCTACATATCTAGCAGACAAAAGGCAGAGACGACGTCCTGATGAGTGCGACAGCATGATGATGATGATGATGATGATGATGATGATGATGATGATGCGGGCAGCATCACCATGATGCGGATAGCATCATGGTGGTGCTAACAGCATCATGGTGATGGCAAAGGCAGCATCATGATGAGACCACGGCCACGAATCATTCAGCATCATCCTGATGTTGACAGCATCATGGCGCCACCACACCCGCGAACCATAATGCAGCATCGCAGTTACAGCAGCATCATGACGTGGTTGACAACATCATGATGATACACCAGCCACGAACCACGAACCATTACTCACGACATTTAGAGCAGCAACAACGTCCGAATCGGTTCAACAGCATCATGGTGCTGCGGACAGCATCATGATGATGCCACAACCACGATACCCTGCCGTCCATATGCGCCCGCACCATCACCAACACCTCAAGACAGCAGCCCCAACAGCACCCCAACTGAGCACCAGCGCCAGTACCCCAAAGTGCATGCCCTAGCTCCCAGCCGTCGATCTCACAAAACGATTCCCCTTCTTCATTACAAGTTAGAATGGCTTTCAGTTGTCTGGAAAGTTGGTCAGCAGCACCACCCCAAACTGCATACCCCCTAGCACCCGCCGGCAATCTCGCACAACTGCGCCCACAACGTCACCAGAACCGCAAACAGCACCCCAAACAGTACCCCAAAACAGCACCTGCATCAGCACATGCGCATGCACCATCACCAGCACCTCAATCAAACAGCAAACTACATTCACCAGGACTACATGCCCCCTAGCACTCGGCCGTCCAGCACCCCAAACTGCATGCCCCCTGGCACCACGGCACCTCCACCAGCACCCAAAACTACATGCCCCCTAGCACTCGGCTGTCCCAAACTGCATGCCCCCTAGCACCCAGCCGTCAAGCTCGCAAAACAGCACCTCCACCAGCACCCCAAACTGCATGCCCCCTAGCACCCAGCCGTCAAGCTCGCAAAACAGCACCTCCGCGTAGCCGGTGTTAAGGACATGATTAATAATTGCCTTAACAAGGGTAGGAACTTCAGCAGCAGGGACAACCCCACCAGCACCCCAAACTGCATGCCCCCTAGCACCCAGCCGGCAAGCTCGCAAAACAGCACCTCCACCAGCACCCCAAACTGCATGCCCCCTAGCACCCATCCGTCAAGCTCGCAAAACAGCACCTCCACCAGCACCCCAAACTGCATACCCCCTAGCACCCAGCCGTCAAGCTCGCAAAACAGCACCTCCACCAGCACCCCAAACTGCATACCCCCTAGCACCCAGCCGTCAAGCTCGCAAAACAGCACCTCCACCAGCACCCCAAACTGCATACCGCCTAGCACCCAGCCCTCAATCTCGCAAATCACTTTCTCTTCTTCATTAGAAGTTAGAACCCCTATAGCTTTCAGCTATCTGGGGAATCACAAATTTAGGACCTCTAAA